TCAAACTTCTATTACCTAATATCTGAACCATTTTAATGTTGTCAGAGGTGGACCTACTCGACACAGCAGCAATGTGTGCAATTCACGTATAGCGGATGTGGAGGCAGTGAAAATAGGTGAGCAGTTTTAATTTGAACTACTCAAAAACTACATAGACGACGGCCAGCGCACATCCTGTCTTTGGGGAAAAGTTTGGAATTGGAAAAGTTCTTAAGCACAAGTAGAATACACACTGTATTCTACTTGTGCTCTAGAAGGCTAAGTACTGCCAGTATGCAATTATTCAAGTGCAATGATACCAAAGTCAGAACACGTCATGAGTCAGATATTCTTAGCGAGGGAGTCGTATGGAGAGAGGATGGGGTGTATTTGCTTCTGAGAAATGTTTTGATTGTTGACCATTCTCGCCCGCTCGCCGGCAGTTTTTTCGAGGAATAACGTGGAGGGCTTTTAGAAAAAACCCTCCACTTTATTGCTCGAGAGGAAAGGGGTGAAAGGCAGGGGACAGTTTAGGAAGCTGGTAAGCAGGGCTGGGAGGCGCCCGAGGAGGGTAATACCAGGAGGAGGTAAACTGTGGGGGTCGTATTCTTCCAAACTTTTCCCAAAGATAGGATGTGCGCTGACCGTCGCCTAAATATTAGCATCTCTTGGCAGGGACTCTCCTCCATCGAGAGTAGCTATCTATCTGCTGAATGCTTCTGTCCGGAGCACCGCTTCCGCGTTACTGAAGCGCTTGGATTGAGAATACAGAATTGCTAAGGACCTGTCAGCGAGTTGAGGATAAAACTTGGTTCCGGAAGAAGGAACAGCACAGGAACGGGAGAAATGTCGGTGCCAGAAGACCGTCCCCACCTACTAGAATTTCTTTCTCGAACAAAACTTATCTCATTCTAAGCTTGCCCAGTGTCCCACTTTTTTCACTTTCAAAAAGCTTTTCCGGTTTTTTCCTCGTGAAAAACTGCGGTGGAGGTGGGAGTGGGAGAGGGGAAGTCAACGCCATACAACCACTGATTTCAGCTACCGAAAATAGTAGTTGCATGAGAATCTGACGTCACTGCCGACTATGGAGGGGGAGCAGCTAGACGGCTGCAAACATACGATGTAAAATGTGATAACCCACTCGAAAATTTCAGAACACGCATACATAAATACACGCCAACTCTCATTCTTCTGTAGCTAGTACTTTTGTGCGTTCCACTGACTTATCGAATACTACTTTGAAAATAGGTTCTTTTGAATCAGCGACGCATTCCAGGCTTTGTAGTCAAAAAAAGTAGTACTATTGCACAGGTTCGCTACGAAAATGGACTGTGAGGACACTTGCAAAGGCCGAAAACCGAGCGCAAACTCAGGTCAGTATTTGATATATCACTTCTCCGTGAATGTTCTATTCCTCGTCCTGCGAAGGGATCAATATAATGTCATTACATTTATCAATGAGCATCACTTCTTCTGCTCCAAAATAATAGATTGGAAAGACACTCTTGTCACCGTTGTGACTTTTTTTCTTTTTTATTTTCTAACTCAACATACAATGGAAATTAGTCAACAATATACTCGTCATTGTTAGCCACTACAGTGCTCCACCTAATGGGCAGGTAAGCATTCCCCCTCTCCCAGAACTGAGGAGGCTGCGAGTAGAGTAAGTCGCCTCTCGACTGATGTCATCAAAGCTGCTGACAGTTTTCTTAGCTAAGACCGTAAGGAGCAGGTAGCAGTCGTAGGGGACCACGTCAGGAGAATATGACGAGCTCTGGTCTCTCAGCCTTGCTCCTCAATTATAGTCTCCGTTACAGTATGGGGTCTCGCTACTACCAACGAGGTGCCCCGAAGCTAGTCTCGGTCAATTTTCTCCAACAGTTTCCACGGTTCCTGAAGCTGAGCGGCACAAATGGTAGCGGTGACCGTGTGTTCTTACAGGGCAGCTCGTTGTGCAGCATTCCCTCGCGTCCCAGAAGCAGCACAGGAGAACACTGCTAGGATGGATCTTCTCTTTGAGAAAGACACGGTACTGTGTGGGTTGAAATCACAGAGGACCCATCTCTCATCTCCACTAAGCAGTCTCCCAGAAACTCCTTCTGACGAGGGCGGAGAAGGGGAGACTGACAAGGGGTACCCGGGTGCACAGCGTGCCATCGGTCAAGGTATGAGTGATCCATCGAGCCAGTACTTT